ACAGAAAAAAAGGAGGGAGGGAGGATAGGTGATGGATGTTTATGTATAGATTGTGGTGATGGTTTCACAGGTTTATACATATCTTCAATTTCATCAAGATGTACAGATTAAATAAGTGCACCTTTTTGTATGTCAATCATATCTCAATAAAAAAATTTTTGACTGGAGTTGAAAAAGAAGACTGGAAAATATCTCAAGCACATTAATATTGTGTCTGTAATTTCTCTTCTGGGTCAATTCTTTTCAGAATTATGAAAATACCTCCCTTATCAATAAAACCCTCCATACTATTACTATTAATTTCCATTTGCATCTAGAGATCAAACAGAATTTTTCTGCCCTGTAATCTAAGCTCTACACCAGGCACTCCTGGGGCCCCAGCAGTTTTGGGTACAGATGGCAGGTTTCTGCACAGAGATAGGTGGCTGAGTCACTGGGCTGGAAGTCTCTGATGAGCAGGGAGACATATTGGCTGGCTTTATTGAGCTGCACTGTAAATCTTCCTTCTTCTTTGTCACCATTGGAGTATGCGGACATCAGCACCTCAGGGCCTTTCCCACAATACTGCCTGTACCACAGGAAGGACTGAGAAGCACGGTCACTGTAAGTAGTGCTGAGAGGGGCAGTGGCTCCCTCTGGAACACTGAGAGGGATTCAGGATTCTGCTCCACCTCCTTTTGTTGGCTCCTCACGCCTTTGCAAAAAGATCATGGTCAAAGAAGATTAGGTGGGTAGTGAATGCTTATTCTCCCGAATTTAATTATCTTTTTGCAGGCCTCACACCCTCATTTAGTTAGAGGGGGAAAAAAATCCATGTTTCTATCCAAGGGCCTAGAATAGACAATAACTCCAAATACTGTACTTTATGTTCCCACAGAAATGCTCAAAACTCACAGCCTAACTGAAGCCACAGGATCACTAGTAAAACTCTCAAGGATTTCTTCATTCTTCTCTCCTCCGGTTCACTGAGGATTCAAATTTTATAACCTTAAAAAATTATTCTAGTTCAGATGTTTCTAATGCTTCTGCTTTAAGAAACATAAAAAGAATCTGTTCTACCAATTAGGAAAAGAAGAGGTTCTTATCACCAGCCCTGCCACTCTGCCATGCCCCTCCCTCCTCTCTCTCTCTCTCTCTCTCTCTCTCTCTCACACACACACACACACACACACACAC